ACACCCTGGGGTCAATGCCATGGGGGCACAGGGGGTGGGAGGGGGCAGATAACTTGGGGTGCCCCCGGGGGTTGCCCCAAAGTGGTTCCCCATGGAGCTTCTTCAGGAGAAAGGAGCAAATCCAGTGAAAAACTGAAAGGAACAAATCCAGCGAAACTTTGGGAACGCTGGAGGGTTTTCCTAAGTTCAGTGGAAATTTGGAAGGACAAAAATCAGATCCTGGGGCTGCAGGAGGTGGTGCCAACCCAGCCAAGGAATCACCCCCAGGAGAGGAAACTGGGAGAGCTGGGCCAGAGTTAGCCAGGAAAGGTGGAACTGGGAGATAAGGCCAACTGGGTTGGGTGTGGTGAGGACAACACCAGTACACTCTGTTCTGCCCTGGGGCTCCACAGAGCAGGACCCAGACTGGGAGGAGGTGTTGTTTACCCAACAGCTCCAGGTGGATCCAAAGAATTCCACTTTGGAGTTGACATTCCCATCTTTTCCATCCTCAGATGATGATGGTTCCGTCATCCTTCGCCCGGGCAATAAATACGAGTACAAATTCGGCTTCGAACTACCCCAGGGGTGAGTGTGGGGCAACACCTCTGGGGGAGGAGGAGGAGGATTGGAGGGGAAGGAGGAGCTGGAATTCTTCTGGAATGCTGATCCTGCTGTGTCCCTAGGCCGGTGGGAACCACCTTCAAGGGTAAATATGGCTGTGTGGATTATTGGGTGAAGGCTCTGTTGGAACGTCCAGCCTGTCCAACCCAACAGGTCAAGAAACGTTTTGAGGTGATGGATCCTGTGGATGTCAACACTCCAGAGCTGCTGGTGAGTTTTCCAAGGAATTGGAAGATGGGAAAAGTTATTTTATTTCTTGGGAAGGGTCAAGTCTAACTTTGGGTTGAGCGATGAGGAGTCGGAGATGGTTCGGAACGTGGCGACGAGTTGTGTTCTTGAGGGAGAGGAAGTTGAGGGTTTTTTTGCAGAAAAAAAAAAAATAGGGAAGGAAGGGAAGGAGGAGTGGGAAGGGACAGGATGTGACTCTTTGTTTCTTTGCAGTCTCCAGTGGCAGCCAAAAAGGAGGAGAAGGTGACGTGTCTGTTCATCCCTGACGGACGGGTGTCCGTCAGCGCCCAGATCGACAGGAAGGGATTCTGTGAAGGTGAGGATTGTTGGGAGAACTGGGAATTTGGGGTGGGAGAGACCAACAGAGAGCTCCTGAGGTTGGAAGAATCCGAAACTCATCAAGTCCAACCTGTCACCTCCAAATTTCCAGTGCCAAGTTCTCCTAAATATCTCTTGGCTTGGTGACTCCATCACCCAACTGGGATCATATCCCAAAGGGAATTTGGGGTGGGAGAGACCAACAAGGACCTCCTGAGGTTGGAAAAATTCTGAATTTACCAAGTCCAACCTGTCACTGCTGTAACCTCCAAATTTCCAGTGCCAAGTTCTCCTAAATATCTCTTGGCTTGGTGACTCCGTTACCCAACTGGGATCATATCCCATAGGGAATTTGGGGTGGGAGAGACCAACAAGGATCTCCTAAATCCTAAACTAAGGTTGGAAGAATCCTAAACTCATCAGGTTCAACCTATCACTGCTGTAATTTCCAAATCTCCAGTGCCAAATTCTCCTCTTGGTGATTCCACTGCTTCCCTGGGACAATATCCCATTGGGAATTTGGTTGGGAGAGACCAACAAGGATCTCCTGAGGTTGGAAGAATTCCTAAACTCGTCAAGTCCAACTTACCACTCCTGGAACTCCCAAATCTCCAAATTCTCCTGAATATCTCTACCCAATCCTCCAACACCAAATTCTCCTCTTGGTGATTCCACTGCTTCCCTGGGACAATATCCCATTGGGAATTTGGTTGGGAGAGACCAACAAGGATCTCCTGAGGTTGGAAGAATTCCTAAACTCGTCAAGTCCAACTTACCACTCCTGGAACTCCCAAATCTCCAAATTCTCCTGAATATCTCTCCGTTACCCGGATCATATCCCATAGGGAATTTGGGGTGGGAGAGACCAACAAGGATCTCCTAAATCCTAAACTAAGGTTGGAAGAATCCTAAACTCATCAGGTTCAACCTATCACTGCTGTAATTTCCAAATCTCCAGTGCCAAATTCTCCTCTTGGTGATTCCACTGCTTCCCTGGGACAATATGCCATTGGGAATTTGGTTGGGAGAGTCCACCAAGGATGTCCTGAGGTTGGAAGAATTCCTAAACTTCTCCTAAATCCTAAACTAAGGTTGGAAGAATCCTAAACTCATCAGGTTCAACCTATCACTGCTGTAATTTCCAAATCTCCAGTGCCAAATTCTCCTCTTGGTGATTCCACTGCTTCCCTGGGACAATATGCCATTGGGAATTTGGTTGGGAGAGTCCACCAAGGATGTCCTGAGGTTGGAAGAATTCCTAAACTCGTCAAGTCCAACTTACCACTCCTGGAACTCCCAAATCTCCAAATTCTCCTGAATATCTCTACCCAATCCTCCAACACCAAATTCTCCTCTTGGTGATTCCACTGCTTCCCTGGGACAATATCCCATTGGGAATTTGGTTGGGAGAACCCCAAACTCATCAACTCCAACCTATCACTGCTGTAACCCCCAAACCTTCAACACCTCTAGACTTGGTGACTCCACCACCCAACTGGGACAACCTCCCAGTGCCTGAGCACGAGGAAGAGCATTCCCTATTCTCCATCCCGAATTCCTGCCATTCCCAACTCTTTGGTTTTCCCTCTGCAGGCGACGAGATCTGCATCAACGCCGACTTTGAGAACACTTGCTCACGCATCGTGGTGCCCAAGGCTGCCATCGTGGCCAAACATACCTACTTGGCCAACGGGCAAACCAAAGTCTTCTGCCAAAAACTTTCCTGTGTCCGTGGCAACCACATCATTTCCGGCACTTCGGAATCTTGGCGTGGCAAAACCATCCGTGTCAAGAAACTCAAACCTTCCATCTTGGGTTGTAACATTCTCCGCGTGGAATATTTCCTGCAGGTGAGAGGGTGGTGCCTTCATCCCGCTCTTCATCCGTGGGATTGGCAGCTTTTCCTGGTTCTTGACATTCCTAACGGGTTGGATTTTTTCTCTTTTTTCCCAAACAGATCTATGTGAGTGTTCCAGGTTCCAAGAAGATTATCCTGGAGTTGCCGTTGGTGATCGGAAGCCGTTCGGGGATCGGGAGCAGAAGCTCCAGTATGGCCAGTCAAACCAGCTCTGAGATGAGTTGGGTGGATCTCAATCTCCCGGATGCTCCAGAGGGTGAGGAGGGGTGGGAATCTCTGGGGTGGGATCATGGAATTGGATCCATGGGGTGGGAATCCATGGGATTGAGAGGATAG